CGGAGGTGTGGAAGTGCCTAGGAGAGACAAAAAAAAAGCTCCATTTAGTCTGTGTTATTTGCTGATATAGATGGAGCTAAGATTTTAATGGATCCAGGCTGTGCTGACTTTGGCTAGGAATGAACCTCAGCTCAGTCAGTTGTTGCTTTTAAGTGCTGCCAAGTCATTTTAGTGAGGATCATCTTTTTGTCCCTATTCTTATTCCAGGCCAGACAATCCTTCAACCTAAAAGCACCACATCTCAGCAATATGGAATCATTATCTATATTTCATTGTGGCTCTATCAGCTTGAGAGGGAAGGAAGGCACTGAATATATTGTTGCTGTTGCACTTCTTCCCTTCCGCTCTCCCTCTGCTTCGCTGTTTGTTTTGGTTTGAAGGCACAGTTGAAGGTTACAGTACTTAAAGGGTGTTGCACACTTCAATAGATTTAAAAATAGACCTTGCAGGGTTTCTGCGTCATCGTAGGAGAATCCTTGCCTCTCATACTACCCCTCCTCCCTCCCCCTCCCATCAGCCAACCTTGCCTGACTTTACAGCAGGGAATACTTGTATGCTAATATGGCATGGAACAATCCCCCCCCCCCACCATCATCATAACCTACGTTGATGTAACACCTGAAGATGACATTGTGATCTGTAGTGAGAGCAGAGAGCAGGTGGAAGAACATCTGGAAAGGTGGAGGTCTGCCCTGGAAAGAAGAGGAATGAAAGTCAGTTGTGGTAAGACAGAATACATGTGTATGAACAAGAGGGAGGGAAGTGGAACAGTCTGAGGTCAAGAAGGTGCAGGACAGTGTGATGGGGAGTGTAGGAAAGAGGGGAAGAGGCGAGTGCAGGCGGGTTGGAGTGGGTGGAGAAAGGTGTCAGGAGTGTTGTGTGACAGAAGAGTGTCAGCAAGAATCCAAGGAAAGGTGTACAAGACAGTAGTGAGACCAGCTATGCTGTATGGGTTAGAGACTGTAGCAGTGAGGAAAAGACAAGAGGCAGAGATGGAGGTAGCAGAGATGAGGATGTTGAGGTTCTCTTTAGGAGTGACCAGGATGGACAGGATTAGGAATGAGCACATCAGAGGGACAGCTCAGGTCGGCTGTTTTGGGGACAAGGTCAGAGAGGCCAGATTGAGATGGTTTGGACATGTGCAGAGGAGGGATAGTGGTTATATTGGTAGAAGGATGTTGGAGATGGAGCTGCCAGGCAAGAGGCCAAGAGGAAGGCCAAAGAGGAGATATATGGATGTGCTAAAAGAGGACATGAAGTTAATTGGGGTGAGAGTAGAGGATGCCGAAGATAGAGTTAGGTGGAAACAAATGATTTTCTGTGGCAACCCCTAACGGGAACAGCCGAAAGAAGAAGACGACTATTACTTAGTCTGTGTCTGCTTTCGTTTCCTTCCCAAGCCCGAACCTTGACATAATTTCAATCCAGAATACAAATATATAACAGTTTAAGAGTTTAAATACTTTAAAAAGTGACCATAGTTTCAGTATTGGTCTGTGTTCTTTGCTCAGTCTTGTCATCATAGCAGGCTCTTGCATTCCATTATGCTTGTTTGTGCTGCACTGAGGTCCCCAGTACCCTAAGGGGTCTGGATATTCACTGCGCTTCCACTTTTGCTTCTGTCATAACTACCATGGTCTCAAGAAGACTGTGAGACTTGAATGTAAAAATGTTTTGGGTCATTTGCAGAAAAGACTGATAGTGTCTCACATAAGGGGGTCACTTACTGTGACAATGGAACATAACTCTGGGTTGTAATAAGCATTTACACATAAAAATAACGTGTCTTCTAATATTTCTTACCATATAATAAAAAAAAAAAACAGCCAGAAACTTCTGTTGCTGTTGAACCTAGACTTTTATTTTGGAAGATATATTTGCTGATATATACCAACAGCAACAAACTCTATAATACTGTTGAAATTACACCACAAGCTGATAAATATGAAGGTCGTTTCAGTAAAAATACATCAAAATAGAGAATACAATACAGAAGTGAAGACAGTGAAGCTTGAGCTGCCTGTCACATCTACTGTAAGTCTAAAGATTCCGCTCCATCTTTTTCTTGTTTTCTGGTAAAATACCACTGCATAAGGAGTGTGATAATACAACGTTAACCTGCCACATCCAGTGCAGGAAACACCCCAGCTTGCGCTTTTGATGTAATCACTAAAGTAACATTTATGTCTTCAGAAGTTACGGTATCATTCCAATTACAGGAAACAGTCACAGCATAATAAAGAAAACAATACACAATGATGATCGCATGAGACTCAGACTGGGGCTAAAGCATGACAAATTGATATGCTGAGCAAGGCCTCCATTGCCAGACTGAAGCACATGTAAACAGAGCCAGAGATGATGGAGAAGAGATGTTGTTGCAGGGCAGCTCCCTCCTACTGGAAACCAGCTGCTTAGGTTAGGGATCAAACAAGGCCAGAGCAGTGCAGTGACACTGTAACAACAGCAGCTACCTGTAGAACACAAGCAAAGTAGACAAGAAGCATCAATCACCCAGCAGACACTACCTCCTCCACCACCACCGCCTCATGCTTACTGATGGCAGTATCAGTCCTCTCTAAGCATGAGGAGAATGCAGAACCCATACAGGAGCACCGCCTCGGGCTTGTTATTCCATTTTATTTGTGAATTATTAATTGGTAGGAAACCAATTTGTTCTTTTTATTCTAAAGGTGTCACAAGTAATTTATGATTGGTGGTCAACAGCTGAGTTTTAATTAAGTCCAGGACAGAGTTCACAGGGCTGGAGACAGAAGTGGTTCATTAATCACCAACTTGCAGACTAGACTAGTACATGAAGGGCCAAAGTACATCACTTTGATCTGAATTACAGTTAATAGTTGGATAAAAGGAAACATGTAAGTGAATTAAGCTCTGTGAGGAGAGAACATTCTGAGGAAATGTTTAAGAGCCCATGGCATGCTTTTCCTTGTTTTCTGACTTATCTACAATGTTACAATGACCAATTATCATCATTGACCTAAAGCTCAAAAAATGAGGTGAATGTACTGTATGTTCTAGTATTTCTATGCAGAAGTAAATTTATACATGTCTTGTAAACTCTCGCTTGTGAGACTTTTTTTCTATCAAAATGAAGTATTACATGATTGAAGTATTTCAGGATTTCCTTGAATAGGCATAAAATCCAGGCCATTGCGTGTTCATGTGAGCTTGCCTGACATCCACCGGTGCCCCCACCATATTGGCAAAATGTTACACTGCATTGTTTGTTATGTATGTTTTCAAAAAAGCCTATTAAAAAAAGACATCCACTGGTGCCACTGTAAAAGCAAAATATTTCAACTGTGCCTTGTTTTGTGGGTGTATTTTATCTCGTGCTGCCGCACTGTAACCAGAGGATGTGGAGAAAAATACAGGGCCTGAGGTTACTGCATGTCTGGGAATGTTCCTGTACAGGGACTCGCTGTTTTACCTGACCGGGTCTAACCAACAAGCAGCCAGCCAGTGAAGCCACCACTGCGGAGAATGATCAGCTCATCAATGCTCGATTTCCCCGGAGCACAGTACCTGTCTGTTTTGACTGCTTGAGGCCAGTGTGTCTGCCGCATGTGATATGTTGCTGGTTACTGAGTGAATTATTGATGATATTGTCGGTGCTATGCTACCAGTAAGTGATGTTTCCACTACTCGGTGGGACTTAACGGTAAGCTTAAAAAACACATCTTGCATGAATGTTAATGTCTTGTTTCTGTAACATTAGAGAGAATTGTTTTAAGGCTGGAGAAGTTACTATGTCTGCATTATGCCAGTTAAAATATGGGCTTTCTCAACTACCTGTTTTGTTTATAGTTTTACAAATCTCTTTTCATTGGTACATATAGTATACTGTTTACTTATCTATGGAGGAGAAATTCAAATTAATTAATGCAATTGTGGTTAGCTGTGTGCATTCATGAAGTATCCTATCGCTTTTAAAAGAGGCTTTTTAGTTTTATTATTCTGAAAAAATTATTGACTATTTGGAGTTATGAGGGGTGCTTCCTGATCTGCATATGAACTGATGTCATCAACAAATAGACACATGCGACATTGACAGATTTTCAAATCAAAAGGCAATATTGGCACTGGTTTATTGATCCGAGCATTCTTACACTGAAAGGGAAATCCCAAAGATGAAAAAAATTAACTGTATTTGAAAAGTTTGCCAGTTTTGAACTTGAAGCACTTTTAGGTCAAGTGGCATTTCTATATAACAACTGTCAGTTATTAGAAAATTCTGTCAGGAACTGAAAGGATGCCTTTGTCAGCCCGACCATTGTGGTGATGAAGGAGCAGAGCCAGAAGGAAAAGCAGTCAATCTACATCTACTGTAGGGTGGCTGGACTCGGCCTTTGAGACATGGTGCAGAGGTTGGACATCTGGACGGAGCTCAGAGCAGAGCTCTGGATTTGAGCTCTGGTACCCCAGGAGGAGCTGAGGAGAGAGATGTCTGGACTGCCCTGATGAACTTGCACAACCTCACCCCAGTAAGGAATTGAAATTGGATGGAGTGGTCCATACAGTACCTGTCATAAAAGTCATATATAGAAAGTCTTGGTAGTGAGAAACTTGACCTCAAACTACAACATTAATCTCAATGAGTTGGAAGTTTTAACATGATACTGAAGGTAACAAAAAAAAAAAAAACTAAGACTTAATCCAGAACCATCTCAGATTGTCAGTTAATTTTTTTTTTTGCTTTAATGATTTTTATTGGAATTTTTGGCACAAAAGCGTCTACAGTGCAGTCTCTGACAGCTGCCTTGGGGTATTTATGAAGATCTCTGTCATCTGTCATCCTCATCACCAACTGTAGGCTATAATATTTTCTTGTCTAATATGTTCACGACCGTCACATCTCCTTGACCACCTCTCATATTAGAAATGGACCATTCATTTTAGAAAGACATTATTAGTGGGTACTTTAACCATTCAGTCTTCATTTCTGTCAGTCCAGTGCTGCTCTGGTGACATATTGCTAACAGCTGTAGTATTTTCTAAATGTTTCAGATCCTCTCTAACACCACTAACTTATCTTTGTTACTGCTGCCTTTGGACAGCAAGGCCACAATGTGGAAATATTCTCTTTACTCTTTGGTAGCATTTGTGTAAATGAAACCTGCCCACAAACAGAGCAGAATAGCTGGCTGATAGCGGGAGCATTCATTATGCTAACAACGACATATCACAGACATCCATGTCCGACTGCAGATATCTACAGCATCACACAGTTCACCAAAAACTGTGTGATGCATTTTAGATACTCATGTTTATTCTTCTATAACATTCAGTCACACACTGCCAGATAATCACTGAATACCACCTGCAGCAATGTCTCATCTTTTAACAGTGCTGCTGGGGGCTGCAACTGACAGACTGACCATACACACACACACACACACACACAAACTCACCATTTGGAGATAATTAAAGTGAGACAACAAGAGAGGTGCACTGAAATCAGACTCCCACACACACAGACACAGGCGCACACAAGCAATCCCTGCCAGAACAACTAATTTTATTTCCTTTCATATATATTTTTTATGTAGCAGTTATGTTCATTTTTATTGAATTTTATCTAGATACAAAAAAAGAAAACTTGGTAAAAAAAAAAAAAAAAAAGATTAAATTGAATAAAACTAAGGGGGGAATTAATTTGTATTTCCTGAAGTTTTTTTTTGATGGATTTGAGGGCCTCTAAACCAGGAATGATAAGAATAAAAAAATGAATAATGAAAAACATAAAACTGTATTAGCTGAGCAGAGCCAGACAGTTCTCACACACTCTAATTTTATGCATTTATTTCAAATTTGTGAACAAAGAGCAACAATAACTAGCAAGGCATTTACTGCTGGAATATGTTTCTGTAGACCCCAAAGACAGCTAATAATGCTACTAGACAAACCAATAGTTCATAAAGATATCAAAATCCTTTCAAATGCCAGACACGTGCCTTTTTCAAAAGGTCCACAAACCTGTACAACCCATATGGACCCCAAACTAAGACTAAGTGTTCTTTCTGGCTTTTGACTCCTTACCTGACTCCAAAAGAGAGCTACACAAGAATTCCTATATGCCTAGACTGTCTGTTTATGTCTGTTTATGCATAAATGGCAAAATCAAGATTCAAGATTTTTTTTTTATTACAAAGGATTCCATCTTAATATATTCTTTTTGTAAAAAGTTTAGAATATTAGATTAATTCTGTTGCTTTGCATCCTCAGAAATGCTTTTAGGCATATTTTGAACATTGTGGGCCAACAAAAACATTGGAACAAATTTTAGGGATGGCTTACAAGGAGCTGTCTTTACATCTTGATAGGCTCCATTTATTTGGCAGTATGTGCTCAAATTTTGAGCATTGTTTTCTTTTTTGACTCTGCAGTGCCTGTTGTCTATGCATTGCTCTAATCAACCTGAGTCTGCCACGTCAGGCAGTGACTAGACAACAACGCCAAGGTGAGTGGCTATGTCATCAGACGAATGCTTTTCAGTGCTGGAAACTCAACAGTGTTTACCTACTAAAATCAGAAGAGATCTAAAATTGCTGTACAGTGTAACTTAGCTGTCTTCTTATTCTGCACCGTTTCATTCCATCTCACCCCATTTCACTAGTGTTCCATAAGCTTAATGTACCTTGTCCATTACATAATTTGAATCCAGAACTTGGAAGTTTTGCAATCAAGCTTGCCTTCACATAATTACAAATCTTTGTCTAAATCATGACCCCCATTTAAATAGTGAATTCATATGTGACGTAGATTGAAAGGTTTGGACTCAAATGCATGACAGATGCAAACTGCCAGTTGGCTTGTGCCTTGTGCTACCAGTGGTGACAAGGACACTAGCAAAACACAAAACTTGTCAAGAATCAGTCAGGAAGGATAAGGAGAGAACATCTCTCTGTGGCCATTACATGGAAACCCATTCCCTTTTGGGGGTTGTCTTGCTTTTACCTCTGTTGCACCTGTTGTTACTTTCATTTGCACCAGAGCAAGTGAAACTGATTCACAGTCACTTGTGTTTTTTAAGTGGACAGATTTATATTCCTGTTTAACTGACTTGGTGTTATACTGTGATGATTATGTGTTCCCTTGTTTTATTTTTTAGCAGTGTAGATTACAGAATTCTGGCAAGTGGCTTTAAGTTCTCACGTTGGTATGTTCGTCCATTTATACCAGTGGTTCCTGAGAATGATGAAAATGGTGGAGCAGCAGGACCATACAGAAACTGTCTGCTGGAAAGGAGACTGGTGCCCCATGAAGAGGACTGCACAGGGAAGTAACTGAGAATAGACTGGAGATGAATGCAAGTACATTAAATGTTAATAAGAGTTTTCAGGTATTTAACTTAAGTGGGCAGCCACTGTTCAAAGAGGAATCACTCATGAGACTGAAGAGGAACAAAAAAGGTAAGTAGCAAATACAAAAAAATCTTCAGTGTGCACAC